ACTTTTTGGCAAAAAGTAATTTTCTTAATTAAAAGATCCAAAACAAAATAATGAAATGTTTTATAATAATGAAATGAAATCTTATATAACATATAAGATAATAAATTATCAATAGATCTATTTTAATGTATATTTGTAAGAAATAATCCATTCATAAAATTTAAATATTAGATGTATGACGTATTGATACATTACAAAAAAATTTTAAATTGACAAAATTAAGTAAAATTAAAAAATGTATACATTTAGTATCATTGTATTCATTATATTAAACTTGAACGATTTTTTTTATTAACTAATTTAGTACGCTAAAATCACAATTAAATAGTGTGTCAAATAATTTAATAATTTTTAACAGTGTATTGTAAAATATAGATAATTTTCGTATCAATAAATACTGTTGTTTATACAACATTGAAAATCGAAAGGAAAATTATCAACTTTTGTGAACTTTTAAACAAATTGTGATAATTTTAAACAAACTAAAATTTAATAATTTACAATTTTTAAATTAGATCTTATATTTAAAATGAAAAGAATAATTTACTAGAAAAATATTAATTCTGAAATATAGAAATATTTATAATTAATATATTTTCATATTATTATACATTGTCATATACGTTTATACCTGATACTATAATATGAGCTTAATCTATGTATATTTAAATTATACTTTGATTTCTATAGTTCATCAAGATTTGATATACAAAAGCTAACAGATTGTACACATGCTTGGAAAAACACATGCTTGTTTTTCCTATACCAATTTAAATTTATTTAAAATATTAATTTAAAAATATTTAAATATACCAATGTCATATATATATACACACACTAAGAAATAAATTTATTATTGTTATATATAATGAAATCAAGCATATTCATTTATACAAATATTTTAGAAAAAAAAATAACGTTAGAAAAAAAATAGCCAAAAATATATTAAAATTTACATAATAAATAATTCCATTTTATTGTCAATTTTATTATGAAAATTTTACAATTTATAACTTATCTATGTATATTATAAATATATCTAAATAAATCCGAATTTGTATAAAATAAAATAAAACATTGGGATAATATTTAATTAATGTTTTTATCTTTAATAACAATAATTTCATATTATACTGCATATTTACTTTATTAAAAAACGTATTACAGCAATAAAATAAAAGAATTTCTACAAAAATTAAATCTTTTTAAGTACTTTTTAGGATTGTTTTTAAATTTTTAAAAATCTTTTAAACATCAATAAAAAATTTTTTTTTAATATTTTGAATTTATGTGTATACACGTTAAATTATTAGTACATTAGTAAAAATAACGTCTCTCATGTTAAACGTTATCCCAAGATTCTGACTAAAGTGATTATAAAACTCAGGATAGAGTCTTAGTTCATTGAGTAAATCGTCTCGATGAATTCTGTGTAAATCACAATATGTAAGAGCGCATATGTTGAATGATGATTTACCAATTGTTGCATAGATACACGGGTTCTCGCAGAAAATATCATCTTTGCTATGAATCGCCATAAAAATGTCATCTTTGAGTATTTCGATACTTCCGCGGGATATGAAGTAAAGCGAGGTAAGTACATCGCACCTATGCACTAGTGATTTTCCCGGTGGAGAATGACACAGCCCAAATATATAAAATTAATTTTAATCACAACTTAATTTTTTTGCAAATTCAATAAAAATTATTTTATGTAAAAAGAAAATTATAACTATCATGACAATAATTATATTTAATGCTGTATATGTACACACAAATAGTATTTTGGTGTGATTATAAAAAAATAACAGAATGTAAAAAAATGAATGTATTAATGTACCTAAGGCATCCTGGACTAGCGCCTTCAAAAGCTCGACAGGAATTTAGTAAATTTCGGTTAAGATGGAGACATATATCAGTCTGTAAGCACTCAAGAAAACCTTTAAGGACACTATTCATATTTATTCCATTAGTATAAGTCCAAGCATGCTGAAAATGACGGAGAGGATTTGGAATTTGATGAAATTTTATAAATTCTCTAACTCGTAGAATCTGAATACGATATCGAGCAGTGCCACTGTACAATCTTTGAATAATTGCAGAAACATTTCCAAAAATACTTGCGTGTATGAGGGCTAAATTTTTTATTGTAAATAATGCTAAAAAATAAAGCTTTCAAATATTTCATTAAATAAAACATTTAATAAATTGTATAAAATAATATATTCCAAATTATTCAATACACAATTTACTTCCTAATTATTAACGTTACTACATGTTATAATAAAACATATATTTAATTCTTTTTGTTAATATTAATAATTAATTATTTATTATATGTTAAATAATTTTAAGAATATGTTTAAATTTACTATATAATAACTACAACTATTAATTATATGTAATTATTAATAATTTTAATTATATAAATTCATGAAATTTCTAACACTAAGTTAAATTAAATTCTTTTAATCATTAATTAACTGTCAAATTTGAATATTTTTTTTTAATAATTTTTGTAAACTTGTAAAATTTTAATACTTATACAGATAGATTTTATTAGAAAATTATAGCAGATTTAAGAAGTGTCTCTTAATTTTGTTTTAACAATGATATTAGCTATTTATATTCTTTAAATAACTTAGTATACAAAAAATCAATGAGTTGTTTGAAGTTGTTTACAAATTAAATACATAATAAAATGCATAATAATTTACTTACACCCTATCAGCATGACTTATTGTAAAGGCTTTGTCAGTATCAGTATTCTGTGTAACATTACCAAATCCTACCGAAGTCAAACTACTAAATGTAAAATAGAGAGCAGAATATATTGACACTAAAATAAAAAATTTAATTCGATACAATTTAAACATTTGTTTTGTAAATAACAGATTTAATGCGATATAAAAACTAAACTAATTAATAATAAAATGTTTTATGTTAAAATTTTTATACAATATAAAAAGAAAAGTATATAAGATATTTTAACAGTAAATAAAGGTATTATTTATTATATATAATAATAAATAAGACAGTAATATATATACTTAAATTTTGTACCATAGTTATTGCTTTTACTATTTTAGATTTCTATTTATATGTTTAATTAAACAATGTATTATTTACAGTTAACACTATACTTTGCAAATATTTAGAATGTGCTTAACATATTTGTATAAAATAATTAAAATATATAATTTCAAATGACTTAATTATAAATTATATTATTAACAATAAGTTTAAATGTTTATTAATTAATTGCTTTAATGTTTAGCTTCACGATAAAGCATATATTTATTTTAATCATATTCATTTTCAACTAAATTTATTATGTTATTTTTTTAAAATGGTAAACTTATAATAAAAATTAGTTTAACTTATTAAAAGGTAAATCTATACTTATCTTTAGTTTAAAAATTATAACATATCATATTACGTAGCATTGAAAAGGAATTAAAATTTTGTTTTTGAGTCTATAGGTCCGAGTTAATATTTTATGTGAAATAAACTACTGTGACATGTAAAGTAATTATTACAAAATTAGTTTTACTTTACGGATTTGTATGACAAGAATTCTGAAAGTACGTAAGTAGTATATTGTTTAAATAATAAAATATATAATATAATATAATCTTTATATATATAAATAATATGATATAATGTAATCAATTTTGCTAAATCTAAATTTTTATATTTTTAAGTAATGTTATTGATTGATGAAAATTATAAAAAAAATATAAATTTAATGAAACCGCCGTGCGCTTTGATAATTTATATTATGAATATTAATACTTTCCTTTCTAAAATATAATATTCTTATTCATTATTTTGCTTTTATGTTAGTTATTAAATTAATATTTCAGAAAAAGTTTTTAAACGTTATATCGTTATCTGATTTTGTGTTTTTTAAATGGATATTGATTATAAATTGAGCTATTGGCATTTCTAAATGCAAGTATGCAATTATGAAAAATTTAAATTTATATTTTAATTTCCTTAAATATTATTTATATTTATCGGTTAAAACTTTTCTTATAGATATTATAATAATAGGTTGAATATTCGCTGAAAATATTTACTTATATATATATTTTCATAATTGACTTCATCATTAATTATTACATCTCATTTCTCTACTTTCAATAGATAGTAAATTAACGAATGTTTTATTTATCTCTACTTTAATAAATCTAATTTGTATTATTAATCATATATTAATGAAATATCTAAATTTATTAATGTATAAAATAATTTATGGATATAAATTAATGTAATTAATCAATATAATGAAATACAATAATATATTCAAGTATTGAGAAAAAAATAATTAGTAAATCATAAGTTGATTTTTTAAATTAAAAAATGAATCATAGACTATAGGGAAAACAATTTATTAAAAATTCATAACGTTAGAAAATGAGATACTATTAAATTATTTATTAATAATTTAAAATAAAAACCTTAAAATTAATTATAATGTATATATTATAAAAATATTTTCACATTATTTCGTATAGAAAATTGAAAATTGAAATGATATATAGAATTAAAATTAAAAAGAAATGTATTTTACCTAGTCAAATACATTACCTATTTTCGTTAAGATGTAAAAATTAGTATAAATATCCTTTACATTTATAATATAAATTCATTATTATAATAGAATTAAAAAATATTTTATTTAAATGTTGATTTAAAATTTATTTAATTTACAAATATGTATATTTTAAATTTTTGTTAATTGCAATTAAAATTTCTGTAATAAGGTAAAATATTCTAAAATTGTGGTTGTAAAAATTTGCACCTTAATACTTGGATCACCTGAATCATCACTACTGTAAATTGACTTGTATTTTTGTTGATTGTATCAATTGATGTGTATCATTTACAAGAATATCTAACCACCCAACTTTGCTTTTTAATTTAGGTCTCTCAGCATTTCCAATTGCATACCTAAAACAGTATTCAGCTAAAAAGATTTAGTCTGAAACATTGTTTTATCCATTAGCATTATTTGAAAACTTTCATTTATATATATATTAAAGTTTTGAAGCATTTTAAGATGTATTTATCAAAATTAATATCAGTTAAATATTTTATACTTATTGAATTTCAATTACAAGACAAAAATTATTATAACGTAAATTCTAATGATTGTAATACAAAAATAATTTTTTCATCAAAATTTTGAAAAAATTAAAGTAATTCTCTTTAATATATTTGTTTTATCAATACTTCCTACCTTGTAAAAAGAATGAAAATTAAAGTACATGTAAAAAAAATAATTTTTTCAATAGAAATTAGCTGTATTATTATTATTATATATTTTTCGATATTAGACGGAATATATTATACAAAAAAATATGTGGATTTAAATAATAAATCATTTTTATGAAATTATTTATTTATAAATACATTAAAATAATAAATAAATTTAATAAAGTATATTATATAAAACATTAATTATATATATATATATATATATATAACGTTAGAAATAAACTAACGATCAGTGCCTTTTTGCTTACCATATACAAGCCATCCAGTGAGCAATTAAAGTAAAAGTCGCCATCAATAAAATAAGTACAGTGGCACCATATTTGCTATATCTGTCAATCTTTCGCGCAACTCTGACCAATCATAGAAGACGAGCTGTTTTTAGTAACCCAATAAGAGTGGTTGCCTGAAATAAACTAATTTTCTAATATTCTTTCAATAATAAGCATTCCCAGTTTTTAAATTTTTTGTTTTTTTTTCATTCATATACATTGAATATATATTTTTAGTATAGTTTTATAACTTTTAAGCTATAAATATATATGAATTGAAATTAAGATCACTAAAAATTTTAATATGGTAAGTACTAGCAATCGTAGAATAATTACAGAAATTTATAATTTATAATAATTGCAAAAAAAATTTTTTTAAATCTTAATTACAACTAAACGTTATACTTCTTAATTAAATTAGTTTAATTATTGATATATTTATTGATATTCAATTAAATTATTAATACATTTATTGAAATTAATTCAATTATTATACATAGGTATATAAATACACAAATACGATAAGATGATGCTTCAATTTCTTATTATATTAAAATAATGTATTCAATTTTTATTTATTTAGGTTTTTTGTTAAACAGTATGATAATTGTAATTTATAATTTTATTAATATATATTTCAAGAAATGTTACCTTTACTATATTTAATACATTTTTATGTAATAGTAATAGTGTCGTCAATCATATAAGTGTAATAATAATAAGAATATTTAAAACATTTTAATTCCGCCATTCAACTATTAAGTCATATAATAAAATTAATAATCATAATAACAAAAATAGTAAATACATGTGTACGGTTGTAGTACGTATTATTAATTGTGCCTTCTTCAATAATATTGTATTGAATATTTTTTTAAAAATCAAAAGTAGTAAAAAAAAATTAGAGTAGTACAAGAAAGAAATAAGAAAGTAAATAAGAAAGAAAATAAGCAGACATAAAATATGATCTTTAATCAAGATATTTTTATATGCTCATAAAAACAATGGAAAACTGAAATAAATTAAAATACACATTACTAAACCACCTTCGTATTAGTCAAATGTAAGAAATTTAACAATTTGCAACGTATTTAAATATTAAGTAGCTGTATTATTCTACAGTAACAATTTATAATTCTTAAATCGAATTTTTAAGAATAAAATTAATTTTTTATAAGAAAAATGTTTTTCGACTAATACAGGAATTTTTTATTTCTTATAATAATTTCATAAAAAAAAGTTCGAATAAAAGATAAAGGAAATCCTATACAACAACAGTATTCTTCAAATTATTATAAAGATTGCAAACTCATATATGATAAAGGTATCTTGTGTTAATTCAAAGAATTAATTTTTATTTTATTACTTTAGGAAACTATTTAATGTTATTAATGCGATTTATTAAATGTACTAAAATTTATATTTAGATAATTTATATTCGAATTAAAATTTTAAAGACTTTGTTATAAGGCAATGGCGAGATTAAAGTTAGCATTAACTTGTAATACTAAATTACTTTTTTTTAATGAGATTTATAAGATCGTGTATATAAAATTATGATGATCGTGTAATATATAAAATTATAAAAGCTAATTAAGAATTAAATATCAACTTTGGTTAATATTTTATGCATAAAAACCAAGGAGGTCAAATTTTAATTAATATCTTTCTAAAATGTAATCATTAAAGAGATATTCAGATATATTTGATGTATCGATTACTATGTGATGAACGTACATACATGAAAGATATTGTTATATTATATATAAATATGTTTTATAAATATGCATAATTTCTTTAAATAATAATTTTAACTTAAAAAATATCTAAGTATAGAATTGAAGAGAGATATCATTATACTATTAAATTAATATTTAATTTAAATCAATACTGGAAATTTTTATAAACGTAAATACAAGTTATAATAGGTTTAAATAATTGTGATATGCATGGAAAACTTTTCAATGTTATCATGAAAATTAAAATTTTGTTTACGCAATAGTATGTTTGTTTGAGAATGAGAGACTCGGTTTAGTAAGGCAATAAAACATCTGGCAAGTAATATCATGAAAATTGTATTTAAGACTTCAAAACTTTCCTGCTCATAATTATTTGTACTAGTGTCATAAAACATCTGGAAAACTCTAGCGAAACGTGCTCATGCTCCCAGTGCAGTAGAACTTAATGGGTTTACTGCCGGGAGAACCCCAAAGTAGATTCGGAACGAATATCAGATATGCGTAAAGCATCGAGTACAAACATTTACTGCAACCCAAAACCCGTACGCGCAACAACATGCAATGACCATACGTGCACACTCGGCCTTTAAGACAATGCTTGCATTGATATTGGCTATGAAAAAAAATTCATTTTGTTTTCTGTCCGAGTCACATCTGGTCCGTCGCGTCCGAAAATGACCATGCCCAAGAGAACCCTTCATCTAGCCAAGTCCCAGAGAAGGGAGAAGCGATCAAGAAGAGGTGACCAATAGCAAAAACTCCCCACTTCCGCCACTTCTCTGATTAGCATATTCGGAAATGAGCTCGGAAGAAAGTGGAGACGAAGGCGTGCATAATCTATTGTGCTGCCTAAGAACGACCTCCGATTGGTTAATTAAAAGAAGAAGGGGTCCCTAGTGGAGTGGGACCAGTGAAGCATTTAAGATAGAAAAATGTAGTGTACCAAGACTTACTCTTTCCAAATACTTCTCACAGTTGAAGGATAAGTCACGACCTACTCTCACGGAGGAGGACCGGAGAGACAAGTCGTTTAGCTAGCTGAGTTTCAATAAGAAGTTCTTTCTACGATTGTGAATTAGTGTACAGTTGAATTGATCTCATCAAGACTGGATTGCATAGGACCTGACCACTTGTAATCTCAGTTGGAGACAAGGAAGAACTAAAGAGTTGCAACATTGCAAGGGAACGTCATAACAAGCCACCGAAGAGAGACTGGAAAATCACGATACATTGCAAGTAAGTCCTTACAGCTAGTACTCATTCTTGATTTCACGGCTTATGTAGAAGATGGACGAATTAAAGTCCAACTACGGAAGCTTCCCGGACATACTCTTGAACAAGACCAGCTACAAAAGCCACATTGGCTTCTTAATTCCTCCAACTATAACTTGTTCCCGCCACAGATGGCGCACAGCTTCGCATAACCTCCATTTTGGCTCTCTTACGACCGATATTTAGAGGCAACTGCACACGTGTTAAGATAAACACAATAGCATTGCAGTGTTCGATCAGAGCACTACAATCACCATATCCTCTCAGTGATAATATTCAATAGATTATAACCTACTTCTTGTTACAGTAAATCATAATCTCACCAGTGACATGCAGAGAATAAGAAATTGATTATCCTCTAATTATCCAATGAATAGATATATCAACACCAAGATTATTAAGAAATATAAGGATCATTTGTAATTTCACCAAAATTAATAATCCCCATTGGAAATAAAGTAAAATAAATTGATTAAACAGTAATAATAAAGACCTGTGTTAATTATTGAATCGATGCATTAACCCTTTACTTGCCCGGCAACCCCACACAACATCTAGTGGGTTTTTTGTTCTATGTTGATTTTTGCACGTTTGGCTGACGAGTCAAATTGTGGAATTATTTTCCGAACAATGTTAAACATTAAACAGTAACATTAAAGCTGTTAAACGAATGCTAATATAGTTGAATTTCATTTATCAATTTAAAAATTTTACTTAAAAATTATTTTTACTAAGTTGTAGAAAATCTTACCTAAAAAATCAATGATAACTATAAGATCTTGATTATAAATGTTAGTACTTGTTTTTTTCGATGATGATCAGATTCAGGAAGTAAAAATGCTGCAACGTATGGAGTAAAAATTGCCGTATACATTACTAGTAATAGAATAATCCAGTCCCAAACATCTTTGAATAGCGAATAATGTAAGACGTTCATTTATAAATTCTTTATGATTCGAAGTTTGTATTCTGGAAGAACGTCAGCACCTAATATTAAATTCATCTCCCATATCAAAATCATAAGTTTGACTGACATTGCAAGTATATTTCAGAAATTAAAAATGATAATTATAAATGAGTTTGAATCATTTATCTTGATTTATTTAAATACTCTCATAAAGTATACTATGATACTAAATCATTAATTTTATTTAAACGTATTTAAATGTTTTGTAATTTATTTGTATAAACTTATTAGGATATTTATTTAATAACATATTTTTTAATAAGTTTATTTAATAATATTTTTATTTCTGCTGGAAAAACTAAAATATACACTTTAACTCTTCATAATTCTTTTCAGTATTCTGATAAGAATTTTGTACCAAAAGTATTATATTATTGGAAATTATTGCTTAAATAGTGAATTTAATTCGAATAATAACGTTTTTAATTTAAAATTATGTGCAAAATTATGCTTGCTTCACTTCAATTAAAAATTTCTTTATATCTATGTACGATACAAGCACTATCTATTTGTAAATTGTTATTTTCTAAAATATATTCTAAGCAAAAAAAAACATTATTTTGAAAAAGATAAAAGTTTTTAATTATAAATGTATATTTAACGATACTTTATTTTCATAAAATTAATTAAATTAATTACTTCATATTTATAGATACAAACAGTGAGTTCATTTAACTAATATGATTTTTAATTAATAATTTGCAATATTTATGATAAATTTTTATTTCCTAATCTCAATGTAATATACAACTTTATATTTGTTTATTATTTAATTGCTTAATTGTTTAAACTTTATTATTTAATACTGTATCAATGTCTTTATTTATTTTATTTTTTTTTTATATAATGATTTTTTTATATAATGTTCTCGTTAGTAAAAATATTTTTATTCACCAAACTGTATAATATAGTTGTAAAATTCACGAATTAAGTATTAGTATCTTTGATAAATTTTATTTATTTGAAACTAAATCTGTTAAATGTGCACATTAAATAATATCCTGATAAAATCATTTTATATTGGTTCAAAATAAAAATTAGTGAATTTATATCAACAGTATTACAATCTCTTCTGCTTACAGATTCATA